TTATCAGATCTACAAAGGATTAACTTTTTGAGGTGTAAAATCTTAATTTCTATCATAGATTTAAATTAAACCTATACCTGTGAAGGCAATGGATGATTTAAGATTTCATTATTCAATTCTTTCAAAAACTTGTCGTAGATGTTGATGGGAGGAGGGATCACCTGTAGTGGTCTGTGTACAGAAGCTCAGAGAAGCCCCTGACTGAAGACACTCTGATGAAGACAGAATGTTTTTCATTTTAAAGTGTGTTCAGGCAAAATATATAAATGGAATCAATTTTTTCCCACTGTGTTTAAAGTGAAGAACATGAAGAAAAAAGAAAAAAATCAAGAAATAAAGCATTCATAAATGGACATTTTCCAATTTTTCAGTTTTCTTTGATTGTTTTGAAAACCACAAATCACATATCTTCTAAATGTACGTCCCATCAATGCATTATTACAAAAAAATACCCCAAAACATGAACTAAATCTACAAGAGGGTAAACTTTTATTGTAAATTATTGACTTTGCCATTATGTTTACCATTATTAAAAAGCAATCAGAGGATATATTGTTCATACATGTGGAAAAGGATGTGACATGAGCTCAGTAGGTTTCAAGGTAAAAAAAAACTAAACAAAAACATCGACCCTGTTGTCTTAAATGTTCTTCTTTAGAGCTGAAGGGTTAAAATGCAGCTTGAAGAACAGAGATTCCAGAAGATACTGGTTCCAGTAACATGAAACATACTAAAACTGTGGAAAAAACAGAACCGGTGAACATTTTCATTTAATTTAAATTCCTCTACTCGTTTGCTAGTTTTGAATTTCGCACAATAAAAGTCAAACAACTAGTTAGTAAGACCGGTTCTTCAGCTGCAACATTCTGGTCTGAGTTTATTCTGCTACGCCGACAAATTCAAGTCGGATTTTCTTCCACGTATGAAGTCTGAGGAGTAACACGATTGTTAGCCAAGGCATTGAAACACATGAAGAAGACGGACGCGTTGTTCGCCAACAGGCTCCGCGGAGGCAGGTTTCGGTGGCTCAGATCAAACGGGACCTCTGAGGAACCGCGTCCAAAGCTGTGCGCTCTCTACGTCTGAAACTAACTCCATGTTGAATTAGCTCTACAGGTAAGCACGTTATTCCTACTTGTATCTAAAAGCCACTTTAGTGTTGAACGTACGGGCCGAGATCTTACGCGGCTTAAGACTGTGCGCTAACCACGGTATCCAACCACTTCCTGTATACCAGAGCAAAGTTCTTCTGCTCCGGATTACAGCTGCTGTTCAGTGTGCTGTTGATAAAGGTGTGTTCATTTTGGAGGCTGGGCAGAAGGCCTCCTCTCCTGAGACGCTTGCTGTCATGGTCGGGAAAGGAAACCCCGTCCACCTCCATCGGTACGCCAACGTGCCTACGCCTGTCCACACGGCTGTCTTCCAGGCTGGCACCCGTTTGCCGGCTGCCTGCCGGGTCGCTGGTACCCAGGAGGTTTAACTCGCTCTCTCTTCCGTCGCTGCAGGGATGCTGATCCTGCTTCCACTGGTGGTACAAGTAGAAGACATGGCGCCTGGGAGAAAGGGAGGCGTAAAACTGCATTTTATTACTGAAAAAATATTTTATAACCCGATAGAAACATGTTATGCTCCAACTAAAAAGGGCCTGAATGTTTGTAAATTTAAATTCCTTTAACCTTTTAACCATCTGGAGATTTTAATGAAAACATTACAAACATAAACGTATTAAAGCAAAAGTCCGGTCGCATTAAAAATGCAAACTTCTGAAAGTACTTTAACTATGAAATTATTATATATGTTCAACAGATAAGTGTTTTTAATTCAGAGTAATTTTCATGTGAATGTGCTTTACTGGAGGCATCCATGTTTGTCAAAGAACA